TCTTATGTTAGGTTAGTAATACAATTTCGTCAGAAGTTTTTGAGTACGATTTACTCCTAAGTGGTTATGAGTGGGGGAGTTGTGATGTTGAGAGATGATTTCTATTTAAAATTTCTTCGAGGGAATGTAAAAAGCGTCACAAAATAGAATGATTCTATTGTGAAGTTTAAAATGTTGGGGGGAATCTTGAGCTCGTTCTAGTACTTGTTGTGTAACGGCGTTGTGCTGATAACTTTGCATAATTTTTCCTTTAAGCTCATTTTCTATAATATGTTCCGTGAGGTTGAAGACTTTGTTGATGGTGATATTACGTTTTTGTAGTTTGAGAATAGTATCTTTGTCGGGTTCTACTCCTTTTATTAAGTCCGATCGTCGATTAATGGTGTTGGCGAGTACGTTTTCTTTTCCTTTGAAATGGACGATTTTTATGTTGTATTTATATAGGAGTTCCCACCAGCGGACTTATCGTCTACTAAGTTCTTTTGTAATAAAAAAATAAGTAAGATTCTTGTGGTCGAAGAGGATAATAAAGAGTTCTTTTATTTAAAGGTAGACACGCCATTTTCGACAAGCTTTTACGATAGCTATGAGTTTTTTATTATGTATAGCGTATCATAGCTAAATAGCATCAAATTTGTGAGAGATGTAGGCAACTAGATGTTATTCTTTGTTTAAATATAACTGTAGTAAACAAGCTTTAAGAGCTACTACAGAGGTGTCTATTTCAACTTTGATAGGTAATTTTGGGTCATAAATTCTAAGAATTAAAACAAATACGAAGGAATTTTTGAGGGTATCGAAAGCAGCGATTTGTTCAAACATCATTTCAAATTTAACTTATTTTTTCGTAAGTTCAGATAGCGCTATTAACATAAAGTTATACTTTCGAATAAAACGTCGATAATAGTTACAAAATCCTAAAAATGATTGTACTTCCTTGACTTCTTGAGGGATAGGTTAATCCTGAATGGTTTAAACCTTCTTTGGGTCTATTTTAATACTATTAGAAGTAATTATGGCTTCTAAGAATTCACATTCGGTAACAGCAAATTTAGACTTTTCTCTTGCGCATCGCAAGTTGTATTCTCGAAGAAAAGCAAGGATCAGATTAACATATTTCTTATATTCTTCGAAATTTTTACTGTAGATCAAAATGTCGTCTAGATAGATAATACAGATTACATCGATATATTCTCGTAGAACATGATTTATGAAGGCTTGAAAAGATGCAGGCGCATTGGTTAGTCCGAAAGGCATAACCATATATTCAAACAATTCATAGCGGCATCTAAAAGCGGTTTTCCATTCTTCTCCAAAGTTAATTCGGATATTGTAGTAATTGTTGACAATATCAAGTTTAAAAAATATTTGGGCGTTTATAAAGCGATCAAAAAATTCGTTTATGAGAGGTAAAGGTCCTGTGTCTTTGATGGTAATATCATTGAGACTTTGGTAGTCGATGTATATGCGCAGTTTTCCATTTTTCTTAGGAACGAAAAGGATAGGGTATCCTACTAACGAATTCGAGAAGCGAATATACCCGTTTCTTAAATTTTCGTCGATATATTCTCTAAAAGCAGCAGTTTCTTCTTCTATGCATGCATATATGGGTAAAAACCTTGGTTACGTTTCTTCTTTGAGAGGTATGTGGTAGGTAAATTAATTAATTTTTGGTAAGGGCTCGCTTTCTTCAAATGGTTTGAAGACTAAACGGTTGTCAGAGGTAACCCAAGTAGGAATATTGAGATTAGTGGTTTAAACGAGTTCTTTAGCCTTCACTAAGAAGCATCGAATAAATTTTGGCTTATTCTTGATTCGATTTTTAACTTCTTTAAGTGACATATGTTGGGTGAGGTTAAAATGAACTTCTTTGCCAAAAAAGGGATTTTTTGTACGAGTAGTACTATTGTTGCTTTTAATTTGTCGACATGAACAGCGAAAGAAATTGATGGTTCTTTGTCGCCAGTTGATGTTTGGGTTGTATTTTTCGAGCTATGGATACCCTAAGATTAAGTCATAAGGAGTATCTAAAATGTTGATTGAGAGAATTTCGATATGCCTATTAATTATAAGTGTGATTGTGGCTTGTTTGGTAATGGTTCCGAGGGATTTTCTTTTAAAGGTGGTAACAGAGATAGGGATTTCTATTGGCTTGGTTGGTAGATTAAGTTTTTGTACAATTTTCGAATTGATGAAAGAGTCTTCAGCACTATTGTTGATTAACGTGCTGATTAGTGTTCCGTTAATATAAGTGGGAAGAATAAGGTGTCTTTTAGTAAAGTTGAATTCGAGTATTCTTGATCTGGTTTTAACGATGCGTAAACTAGATCTTTCAGGAGGTATCGATTTCTGAGGTATTTCTAGTTTAAATAATTCTTGAGGAATTCTTCTGGGATATTATTCTATTCGTCGAAATCTGGTTTTGAAGGGGGAGGTGATTCGTGTGGTGATTTATAATTGTGGAGGGAGTAGAATGGGTTATGTGGGTCGGAGAAACAGATAGTGTGGTGATTGAGGAAATGTCTTTTAAACTGGTTTTATTGTCTAATTTTTTTGTTATCACAGAGGTGGCATCGATATCCGTAAGGTACTTTTCGTCTTGTTTCCGTAATTATCTTGAGGTAATGCGCATGGCTGGTTCGTAGAATCTATTTATTGGCGTGCTTGTTACATAGGAGGAGTTCGTCGTAATAAAGCTTTCTGGGAGTTTTCTTGTAGAATTCGCAAGATTTCTTACTGTTGTGAAAATAATCTCCATGACAGGTTTGGTTGAGATTGTCTATGGGATAGGAGATTTTTTTTTCTTGATTTTTTAAGTAGGTTACGAGGTCGAGCTTATATCTTGCGCTAAGGATTTTGTTATTCTGTACTTTTCTTTCGTTGATGAGTTTAAGGCCATTTCGTCTAAAGGGACTTTTCGTAGCACGGATCCATAGAATGTGCTTCTCGAAATAATGATCGAGGAGGTTGTTCCAGCTTTTTTCCGTTTCGTAGCATAAATTACATTGGTATTCTAATTATTTCTGGTTTTTTTTTATATCTGCAAAGTACACGAATTTGGTTCGTTCTCTTCAAGTATGCTGGTGTTTACTGCAGAGATATAATTATCCGTATAGGAGGAAAGTAGCAATTTCAGAACACATATGGCATGATTTTCCTTCGTCAGGGACACTTCCATAAATAAAAAGGTGTCCGTCGAGTAGAAATTCAATATTTTATTTATAAATAAAGAGGTCTTTAAAGAAACTAAGTCGCAACTTTTAAACACATTCGTCCATATAGACCAGGAGTTGGATATAAGTTTGAAATTATAATTTTTTTAAACAAATAAAACAAATATGTTATCCTAAATCGTCTTCGAAAACTATGTTGAATGCAGTTACGTGTTTTGTATAGTAGTACCAGTCACTGTAGCATCCAGAACAGAGATAAAAGGTGTCGTTGTATAAAATATATTCGACAATTCTTCTAATGTATAAGTAACATCCGACTTTTTTGTGGAGTTTAGATTCTCCTACCATTGGATAGCTAGGGAGTGGGTTATAGGTTTCAACCGAGTATTTGGCGTTAATTGCGAGGTGATATATTTCGAAGTGGTTGGCATAGAGTTTTTTGAATAAATCGAGGTTTGTTTGATATAAGGCTTTTTTGAGTTTTATTTTGTCTGTCCACTTATATTCTCGTGCGTAGTTGTATTTACTACATCCTATGTAGCAATTAAGACATCTAATGTATTCTTAATCTTCTTTGGTCATCCAATCTACTTAAGTGTAAGTCTTGTTGTTACAATCGGAACTATAGATGTTTCTGCTGACAAAAAAGCTTTCTTTGTCATTTGAGGTAAAAGAAAAAGAGTCTTTTGATGAAAGAAATAAAAAAAAATATGCGTCGTTATCCCAGTCAGAAAGTAGAGGTAGCACGAAGTGTTATTCATACGCTTCGGAGAGATCGATAGTTAACAAGAGTTGTTCGGTGAGAGGTTGTTGTTGCGTAGCTCTTAAGTGAACTATTAGGTTTCGAGGTTCAAAATCGCTTTTAACAAGTCGATACTTGTATTCCCCGTTCTATAAGTAGTATTGATAGAGTTTTCCATTGAGCTTTCGTTAATACCAAAGGTACCTTCCTGGTAGAGGATTTTGCCATAGCCAATAATATTGTTCTTTAGTAGGAAAATAGTTAATATCTAAAGGTTAAATAACGATTTTTTCGTCGTCATCGTCTTGGGTCGTTGACTCAGGGGTATTCATTTGGGTATCGGAGGTAAAGGTTTGTGAGGAATTTTCATAAACGGCTTCGAGGATTCGTTATTAAATATCTTCAATAGAGTTTTTTTTTGAAGTGTCATCTTGAATTCGACAGATTTCTTTTGATCTTTTGTTGGAGTCTTAAGATTTTGACTGGTGTTATGAAACTGTCTATATTGGTGTGTGGTATTTCGTTGGTTTTCCGGGTAATTATCCCTAAAGTGTCCAGTTTTATTACAATTCCAGCATAGCGGCGTGTTGGATTTTGGACCCTTTTTGGGTTTGTTGTGCGGATACTGTTATCATGTGTTGTTAAGGTCTATGGGTGTAGGTCCAAAAGTCTGATTGGGGTGCATCCTTCCGTTCTTACCACGTTTTTATTGTCCGTTGTTGTCCTTTTTATTTTTTTGTTTCCAAAGTTGTTGGAGTTGTTATTGTTTTTTTTTTATTGTTATAGGAGGATTGGTTGGTGCGAGTTTTGAAATTGATATCGTTAATTTCGATAGTATGTTGTTGTATTTCTATGCGAGTTATATCAGGGAGGTTTTTATCTTTCCGTTCCTTCTTTTGAATGTAAACATATTGTTGGAATTCAGTCTTAAGTCCTTCTCTTGTTCAATAGTAAAAATTACCGTCGTCCCATTCAGTTAGAACTGCGAATTTGTTGAATTTTTGAAAATAGTTTCGAACGGAGTTGGTTTGTTTGAGAGAGGTAATACTTCGTCGTACACGAGAGACCTTGTCGTCTTTTCTACACTACTGTTTGAGGAATTTGGTGAAGGTATTGTAGTTGGTTATAACTTTGACAACATGCTCTTTTTGTTCCTTAATGGGTTTGGAATAATGTTGTTGGTAGGTGATGTAAGTTTGTAGGATAGTACCTTTGAGGTATATTCCTGCGAAGAAGATTTTGGTTTTATTATTAGGGAATCGTCCGGTTTGGAGTTGGAAATGGGTGTCGAGTTGCTGGAGAAAGTGATCAAGTTTTTTAGGCGTTCCGTTGAACTTAGTTGGGTCGTTAATTCGTAGTGGTTTTATGCTGTTAAATCGTTTTTGGAGCTCGTTATGCTCTTTTTCTATCTTCGCTTTTTTTGAATCCATGATGGAGATTTTGGTGGTGGTTTCCTCGATGTCTTGGTTGTATTTCTTTTGCAAGAATTCCAATTGCATTTGTAATTCTTCGAGGGTTTTAGGAGGAGGGGAGTTTTCTGGTTGGGGGTTGGTGGAGTTTCCTTCTCTATTGTTGGTAGGATCGATGTTCATTTGTTCAGTAGATATGTTTAATATTGTTAGTAGGTTGTTAATGTCTGTACTGAGTTTTTTTATGTGTTTGTTGCGCGCGTTTTCTTGTGGTCTTTCTATAGGTTGTACTTGAATACCTAATTCAATTGTTGTAATTTCGTTTTGGGATCTTAGTGGTTTATAAACTCTAATAGACTCTTCGTCTTTTTTGATATTAGTTCTACTTTGTAGTTCGAGACTAGGGCTTACCTGACTTGCTAGTAGTTTGGTTTGTGCTGTAGCGTGTCTAACTACTTTTTGATTTGCAAGTTGTGCTAAAGTTTTAAGGGGATTGTAGAAGTCTTCTTGACTTTCACTACTTGTATTTATGTCTGATAGACCGTAACTTCTCGACATACACTACCTTCTTTTAAAAGTTAAATCGGTCAAAGTGTTACATTTGTCCCAGGATTCCTTGGTAAGGTTTCCTAAAACAGCTTAGTATTTTGCTGTGTTTCTTAACTCTATATGTTCAGATCTCTCAGAGGGTAGTATAGTATTCGGGGTGAAGATATAAAGTTGTATGAATAGAAAGTGTAACACAGTAATTAGCTGTGAGACTAAATACTGTTCAAGTAGGTTGTAGACTAAGTTGATAAGTTGACTGATGAAGTCTAAGAGTAAACCCAGAGACTGTCATCGTTCAAAGGTCTATATATACATGAGGAAGTTCTTTATAAAACTTCAAGATACGACAAGCAATTAGTCGTGAGTGGTGTCGAGGTCGTGAGCGCTCATGAGGTCGTGAGCGCTTGCGATTATCCCGGCTACTAATGTCCAAGCCTTGGCGTCAAACCATGCATATGTAATTAAATAGTCCAGTCGTTAATATTTCCGACTGTTCCGAGGGAACGAACATGTGTTGTTTCGGACAACACAAAATACATAAGTGCAGAATAAGAAGCATATTCTCTCAAACAGGAAGATCCGAGAAATTATACAAAGAATAATTCTGTGAGCAAAACAGAAGCAAGAAACAGAAGCATGTTTGTCGCGCCAAGCCCTATTTCCTAATCCGGTTAGTCAATATGGCTGGGCCGTGACACTTATTTTTAAACTTTAAATATATAAAAAGTTTTTATTACTTAATTAAATGTGGATATTTGAATGTATTGTTACTAATAAACCATTTTTAGTAAATAGAATTGGTGATGTAGAATAAACCAAACATAAGGTTAAAATATTGGAATGTATGTTTATTAAATATTATAAAAAGTGTTAATTTATCTAAACAACAGAATAATAATTATAAAAATCAAAATCTACTAAAGAATATATAATAATTTATTTGCTAAATAAATTAGTTTTGAAAATGGATAGTGCTTAAGTATACTACTTATATTTTACTGTCAAGGTAAAAACCAAGTTTTGATAAATAAACAAATATAAAAATTAATAATAAAATTTTAAAAATAATTCTGGGTAAAATAATCTTTAATATAAATTTTAATAATAATAGTAAATACTTAAATAAAAATTTTAAAGATTGAAATAAAAAAAGGTTTTATGTGAATAGTAGTTAAATATGGGTTAGTTAATTCTAAAGTATAGGAAAATTTTGTTTTAAAATTCACATTTGTAACACCTGTTGAAAGAAAAATTGATTAATATTCTAACATTTGGATATAAATTTTATGCAATAATGTAAATAAATTTGAAAACACAAATAGAAATTCTAGAAAAAATTCTCTTTTTTTTTAATAATCCATTATCTTAAAATCGGTTTATCCGAAATTAAGGTTTAATAACTAGCAGAGTTCAACACCTTTATTAAATCCAATATACTCCCAATTGTTTTTAAAAATCTAAAAAAAGGAATAACTTTTATGCCAAGTTGTATTTATAACTGTAGCAAATCTCTAAAGTGAAAAGCTTTTAATTAATAAAACAATGTAAATAAAGAAAATCAACAAAATAAATCTGTAACTTCAGAAAAAAAATTAATTCTAAAAATTAAGTACATTAAGCTTTGGGTGGATTCCAACAGACTAGTTTAGTTTTAGCTTCACAGCCAAAATTTTGTAAAATTATTTGAAAAATGTTTTTGGTAGGTTTTGGCTATTTAGCATACGTTTAATAATTGATTTAGAATTGGTACGAATAAAAAAAATTTAATTATTTAATTAAAATATAGTATTACAATGGCCAGAAAGTAATATTGATGTAATATAATTTCTACTTAATACTCTAAATATCAAAGTAAAGAAATTCAATTAAGTACAAATAAATAATAAAAGTAATTATAACTTTCTTAAAATAATCAAATGTTTTGTTATTTAATTAGTAATATGTATAAATAGATTAATAAGATTTTTATTATTCTTATCTATTATTTAACGAAATTATAGTTAAAGGAATAGATTTGGTAGAAACAGCAGAAAAAGAAGATCTTATTAAGCTTAACTCTAGTTTAACATTATGAAGAGACATATGAGGTGTAGAATAGGAGGGAGCTTCGGCGCTGGTGAAATACCTCCACTCGTACTATTTCTTTACTTATTTATTGAAGCGAAACTGGGTTTTACCGCCTAACTTCTAGTGTTAAAATCCTTTGTGGGCTGATCCGGGATGAAGATATTGTTAGGTAGGGAGTTTGGCTGGGGCGGCACATCTATTAAATTATAACGCAAATGTCCCAAGGAAAACTTATGGAGAATAGAAATCTTTAGTAGAACAAAAGAACAAAAGTCCCCTTAATTTTGATTTTTAGTGTAAATACAAACCATAAAAGTATAACCTATTGATTCTTTAATCTTTCGAAATTTAAAGCTAGAGGTGCTAAAAAAGTTATTATAGGGATAACTAATTTGTAACAGCTAAGCGTTTATAGCGACGTTGTTTTTTGATCTTTTAATATCGGTTTTTCTTATCATACTGAAGTAGAATTTGGTAAACGTTGGATTGTTTATCTATTAATAGAAAACGTGAGCTAAGTTTAGATCGTCGTGAGATAGGTTAGTTTTACCTTACTATTAACCGTCGTCGCAATAGTAATTCAACTTAGTACGAGAGGAATTGTTAATTCAGATAATTAGTTTTTACGGCTATCCGATTGAGCATTACCGCAAAGTTACCATCTGTTGGATTATAGCTGAACGCCTCTAAGTCAGAATCTATGCTAGAATGTGATGATTTTTACTCCTACACATCTATACTCGTATAAGAATAAACTCCGGCTATGTGTTATAGCAGGCTGATAACGAGTTCCCCAATCGAAAATTCGGGTTTCCTTGTCGACGTATTGCAATTTAACCATACGTAGAAATAAATCCCTTGCAGACGATTTGAGTGTGAGGCAGGGTGTTGTAAACAGTAGAATAGCCTTGTTGTTACGATCTGCTGAGGTTAAATTTTCGCTTCCTAGATTTATTTTTAGAAAATTCCTCTCTTTCGGTTTATGGTTTGGTTGATATGCGAAACCGTACCAACCGAAGGCTATAGAAAACCGAAAAAAGCTATA